TCTGTCCAGCCTGGCCTTGAACACTGCCAGGGATGGAGCATTCACAACTTCCTTGAGCAACCCATTCCAGTGCCTCACCACCCTCACTGTAGAGAACTTCTTCCTTAGATCTAATCTAAACTTCCCCTGTTTAAGTTTAAACCCATTACCCTTGTCCTATCACTACAGTCCCTAATGAAGAGTCCCTCCCCAACATCCTTGTAGGCTCCCTTCAGATATTGGAAGGCTGCTATGAGGTCTCCATGCAGCCTTCTCTTCTCCAGACTGAACAGCCCCAACTTTCTCAGCCTATCTTCATACAGGAGGTGCTCCAACCCACTTATCATCCTCGTGGCCCTTCTCTGGTCTTGCTCCAACAGCTCCACGTCCTAGTCCATCACACAAAAGTCAGTAGAAGGGTTGGGACTTGAATGACAAACTAAATAGCTTCTCTATGGCGTAACTTCAGTGCCATTCCCTCTCTTTTGACTGTTCTTCAGGCTGGTCTGAAAGAGTAGGGGACCTCTTTTCATAGGCTTTTAGAGACTGTTATGCTCTTGCTCACTCCCATTTCTTCACCCATTAGTGCCTCCCCCTTTCTGATGCTTCTCTTGGCATTTTAAGCCCTGGAAAATCAGAATATTTATCTTCTGGAGCTTCAGAGGGCTTCTCTGTTCTCTGAAGTGTGCAAAAAAACACTCAAAACAATGCCTCAATCTGGTATGAAATATGTAGCAAACTAGAGGGATGCAAGTCTGGGGGTAAACCTAGGGTCTGTATGAGATTTCCCACACCTGCAACACAGAACTCCAACAATTACATTCGGTTTGGTTTGAGTAAACAACCAAACACCAGGAATTTTACCAAAACATTTTGATTATGCCTATAATTTTTAAATTATTCTTCTTTATGTTAACTAGAAAGTAAGTACAGCTGGAAATGTGAATTTTGCTTTTTTATTCCTAAACACTGCCACTCAAGCTGCACACTGCCTATGTGGCAGTCAAACAAAACCAAGTGGCAAGGCTGTGACTGTGATCATCTTGTTCCTTGAATGTCACTCAAATCCACCTCAAAAAAATGTCACTCAAAACACACCTCTAGGAATACACTGAGAAAGATCTGTGTGAGCCAACCATGCTAAGGGTTACTAAAAGACTAAAAATAGTGCCAAACACCACGAAGACAAACGTTTTAGAGGAACATTCAAATGTCATGAATGTCAGTGTGGTCTGCTTCCAGTTGGCAGGAGACTTCATTATTCAGTGCATCCCTCTTCTGCCTTCAGAACAGAACCGTCAATACCATTGCAAAGGGTACTGCAATATATTTGTCCACACGTATCTTGACAAATAACTGAAATAATCACATCTTGCAAAATTGGCCACAGTTAGTACTCTTGCATATCTTAGCAACTGAAAAACTGTAAGAATATTAAGCAACATAGCAGCAGCAGAAATGTTTCAGATAGGCACATCTCCGCTGGAGAGGAACTAGCAGCAAAACATTCCCTTCTGTCTGCAGGTTACAGGTGTTGTGTCTATGCAGTGTATAGCCAGTGGGTTATAAACTCATGTATGTCATGATGATGGTCTAACACTTTGACTTCAGAAATAGGCATGCTAATTATTCTGCAAACCAAAGCAACAAACCTTCCAGCAGAGGTTTATTTGGAGGACAAGGCACACAAGAGTAAATTCCTGCTTGTTCACTTAACTGCTGAATCCCACAACCAAGCTTGCCAAGACTAACCAAGAATTTCTCAATTGCACTCTTATATTGCTGAAGAGTTGTCAGTTTGCTTATTAAAATGTTTCACACCACCCAAACTCAGGGGATAACCTACATAAATGCTTTTCATGCACTGTTTGATTTCACAGAAGCAATTGTGGTTTTAGCATGCTGGGGGCCAGACTGCATTTGGTATTTGCATGGATATCATGTGGTACAGTGAGCCTGCCTCTTCCCACACACTCTGCACCCAGCTAGTCCATAGCGTTAGGAAATGGAAGTGGCTCTTCATTTTGTCCACTTAAGGGCTAGAGAAGTCAGATAACATCTGACTGCCTGTAATCAGCCAGTTATACTGCTGAAATGGGAGGAACAGGCTGGGGAGACGGCTTCACTACAATATTTCTCAGCTCTTTCTCTTAATAACCCTGGGAAATTACTGCTCTTTTCTTCCTGATCACTTGTATCACATTGCCACTGTTCTCCAAATCCTCTCAAATAATGTTAACAGACTTAGGGGAAATGCATTTTTTTCCTTTTAATTTTTGTGTAGAGGGTCTGACCTGCTGGCACAATGACTCTTCGTTCATTGGTAGTCATATTTGGGGGTGGAACATGTTTCTCTTCCATGTAGTTTCCATAGTTCATCCCAACATTGTCTGAGCCGCTAATCATTTTCCCTCCTTTTGCCACGCTGCAGTCATCAGGAGAATTCCTAGACAGAGAAGAGAGGCGTGCTTCTATTATTATTCCAGTCCCTACTAATATCCTTGCAAAGAATCACACTGAATGAAATGGAAAAAACAAGACTCAAGCAGCAGGGTTGGGCTGTTGCTGGAAACCTCAGTAACTACTACCCAATAACTCTGCTAATTTTTTCAGTTGCCTCAGAAAAAATGACCAGCCTCAGTGGACCATATATTAATTTTTATTTTTAAAGGATCAGGCTCTTATATATCTCCAAACATATAAACACTAATGATTTATTTCCAGAGACGAGACTAGAATGGAGGTTTGTTCATGAGCTTGCTGAGCCTGCTGGCTGCAAGTACTTGTACTTCTCTCTCCAAACGTCTCACAGACAACTCAGCAAACATAAAGATGTACTTAATGCAGATTCTCTGAGGGAAAACTGTTATTAGTTGTCATTGTACAAGCCTTGGATAAGGCTTGTCCAAGCCTTGGACAGCTTCCCATCTGTACTGCTATCATTTTTTCATGTGGGCCATGCTCAGTTGCTCTTTTTGTCATTCAGTGTAGACATACTTCTATGTATGGCTTACAGAAAAGGAGCATTTGCCAAAGCCATGATTCAAAATACCACACGCATGACTGGAAAAACCTTTCAGCTCCTCACTAGCACAGTCTCCATGGTACTGTAGTCAAGAAATGGAAATCTGCAGAGGATCTGCAACCAGACACCTCTTTAATTTTGGCTTTGCTTTCTGAATAGAGTCTTTAGGTTTAACATCCCACAGGGGGTTCCCTAATGGCATTTTAATTGCATCACAGTTTTCTTTCTGGCAGACACAGACATATTTGTCCCTTAATTTAATGTCTACAACGTGTTTCATCAGAGAGAGAAAAATTGTTACAAAAATCAAAATAAAGAACAGAGCCATGGGGAATACCTTTGAATTTAAAGAGGCTGTTGGCCAGGGAAAGGGGGTGTTAGTTGGGTTTTGGTTTCTCTAGTGAGAAAAAAACCTAAAAAGTTTTCTTTTTGTCCTGCCATCTAACTCCTGAAACTAGACTGTGGTCTTACTAAACAACCAGACAGTCAGGTTGTGATGCTTCATTTAGGTTTCTTGCAAACCAACTAATTTGCAGTCCAGAGAACTGAGACATCCTCCAAGACCCAGACCCCGGATCTAAGCGCCGCCCTCCAACATGTATTTATTTCACCCATAGCCTCGTGGTCTCCCCAGCTCGGAAACCCCAGCTCCTGCTGCAAGCTTTGGGCAGCAATGTCACTGTAGGCACACCAGTGGTCAGAATGCAGATGCTTCCACAGAAGAGTTCTGCTATTGTTTAAGGACAAAAGAGGAAAAATAACATACAGTTTGGACTACTGTCTGTTCAACATATGTCAAAACCATGTGGCAGATATTGTATCCAATGCCCAAGTGAGTCTGTTGAGTTGAATCCTCAGCACTACCATAGATCAGGAACTAATGCAGTTACAATTCTCACATGTGTGTTTTAAAAAATAACTAGCACTTGGAAAGCTGTGAAGATTTAGCATACATATTAAATACTAAAAGTACATATTATCACTTATTTTCTATGCAGTGTTACTACTAATTTTACCATGCTGTGTTAATGTGTATATTAAAAAAAACCCCACCTGCTGATGGCTTTCAGTTTAAAAACAAAACATATCACAGAAACCACTCAGTTGGTACTGTCATCTGCTTTAGGAGAAGGAACAGGGCCTTAGATGTTGCCTGGGAAATGTTGGCTTCGCATACCTTTTTAAGGTATAAAATATCTTGGGTGCTGCATAACATGTTACATATGAAATCTGCATTGTGTAAAGATCCTACAGCTTGTCAGCCACAGGACTGAGTAATAACCACAGGGGAAGATGCAGTCACCACCTGGTCTTGCCTGTCATTGAGTGGTGGTGAATTTAGCCTTTCCTCTCGGAATCAGAGTACTTGGCATTATTCCCTCAAGTTTAACTTTTCTATCACACTACATACCCCTAAATATAATTCTGGGATGCAGCTTATTTCTTGTCTACACAGAGATAAGCAGAAAAAAAATAACTTTTTCTTTCAGACATAAACATATTGAAAAAGAGCTTTTGTGATGATTGCTTGTGACTAGAATGCTGGCATTTACCCCTAACAAATACAAATGGCATATATGTAAAAGTGAGTCTGCACACTAAATCACGTATATTTGGAAACACCTGACCTTACACCTATGCAGATGCTCACTCTGACTTCTAAGGTCAGTTATACTACAAAGACAAAAGAAAGAACCATTTGGCCCATTTGCTGACTATTTAGAGATGTTTTTGGGAAACACAGCTAGCAGCATCCTTTGGCCTAACTGGAACAGTTACTTTGTTTTGTTTTTCTGTGAAAAGGAACTTGGCATGTAGGGACATGAATGTCTTGCTGCTGACATGAAACATCACATCAGTACTAGCCTTCACCACCGTTATGGGCAACTGTGCATTAAAACCACTCTTGTAAACACTGAACAGTAAATGATGTGAAAGATCCAGTAGCACACTGCTTTTGGCAATCTGACAGGGCTTCTGAGCTGGTTTTCTGATCTGAATATACACAGATGGGGGTGGGGAAGAAGATCATAAATAAGTCATAACTTCACATTAAAACCCAGAAGCAGATGGTCAAGGGTTTTGTCCTGTTAGCTTACTGGGTGGAGAAGCAAATACCCAGTTCAGCAAATCTTCTAAGACCATGCTGAACTTCAAGCACGTATAGAAGCAGTTCCATGGGAGCTAACAGGACTAGTCAGGTACTTCAAATTAAGCATATGCTTATGCATTCCACTGAAGCAAGGTTAATTCAAATGGCTGGAACCAACCTCTACGGTATAGAAAGCAAAGCTGAAAGTGCAAGCAGACACTAGAAAACGGTAATTTTAGTGCCCAGAACAAGAGAGCAATTGTTTGTAAAGTCTTTTTTTAGGATTTTCTGTGTGTCTGCTTTATTTCTGAACCACAAGGGGAGCAGGGGCAGTGGAAAAGTAGCTTTCAGAAAGTGTGCCCAGCATAAAGCATGCAGCTTTGCAGTGATTCATCCTCAGCTCTAGGTCTGAAATGAAACCCAAGATGTTTTTCTTCACAGCTGCATGTTATTTTTACCCTTTGTAAATATACTGTATTACACCTGGAATTTACAAAAAAAGAAAAACAACCCCCCAAAAATGTGGAAATACAACAACCATGCTACCCAAGAGCACTTTGTCCAGTCCTGATCTGATTCTGCTCTGATTGCTGATAAATGTCTGTTGAAGAAAACATTTCTCCATGGGCCCTTGGCCGTGGAAGCCTTGCCTTTTTCAGGGTTATTTAGAGTCAACCTGATTTGATGGTTAAATTTAGCGCCCACTCCAATTGAAGCCCATTGGAGTTTTGCCAAACAGTGACTATGATGAAAGCAGATGTAAGTTCATAAATAAGGGCATGAAACACATTTTTTCCTCTTCACTATGCTACTATTTTCCCTGTGTGATATAAAACACCTGTGTTCTCTTAAAATGCAAGGTGTCAGAGAAACACAGACTAGGAATCAGCAAAACTTTGCATGATCTCTGTGACATCCCCGTAATATAACCCTCTTTATTTGGTATTTAGAATTTCAGAGAGAAATCAATGAGAAAAACTGAATTCTCAAAATACCTGCGTATCTTTATAAGTTTATGTAATAACCACAGCTTGAATAACTTCCTTACAGAGGCTACTTATAGAAAAGGGGTCTCAGGAGAGTAGAGTGGTGTAAGGATATCTTTGAAGAGTTTTCCATGCATGGTCTCCATCCAGTCCATGGTTGGTCAGGTCAGAGGACAAACTGAGCTATCAGAACTTTTATTCTGTGAGACTATGGCAAACAAAGCATGACACTGTCTTAGAGGACACATTGCTCTCCTGTTTCATAATGCTGGTGATCTGAGAAAGGGGGGAGCAAGCCCTTATGTACAAGAAGGAAAGCTCTGCAAAGCCAGCTCCCTCAGATAATTTGGGCCGAGATATGTAAATTTACGTTTAACCAGAACAACATCATGTAGAGGTCAGCTCATACTGAGTGTATGGCAAAGCATGCTCATGTTAATCTCCATTCACTGCAACTACTCGGGTTGTAATGAATTTGGTCAGCACTTCCCCTCAAAATGGTTTGTCACTGAAAAAGTGGCCCATGAAGAAAAAAAAAAATAATTCCTGAGATATGGAGGTACACTGCTGTTCCCTAAAGCACACCTGACATACTTTACTCCACTATATCAATTCAAGGGGTAACATAGCTGCAGCTCTAAATTCTCTCCCCCACCCCTCTCCACACCTTCTTCTTCTTCATGAATCAGTGGGATTCACATCTGCTGAGACCTGCCACAGCAATGACGTGCAGTGAGGGGTCCTGCAGATGCCCCTTCGGGTTCCCCTGCGCACCAACCACTGGGCACAGCCCAACCCTCCCCGGTGAGAAGCAGCTCAGGCTTCCCAGCTGTCAGAGCATGACTGCGGCTGCACCAGCAGTTTTGCAGGCCCCCAGAGGCTGCTTCCCTCGCACCAGCAGGGATCACCAGGGATGCTAAGTGAGACTCTGAAAAGCGCTTTCAGAAGTGGTATCAGAGGCCCCAGCACTTGCTTTGACAGAGCTCAGTTTCCACCACACATACTAATCGCCCAGCACCTTAGCTGGATGTGGCTGCCCAGCTTCTTCTGTGCATACAACAGGCCAAGCCCTGCAAGTGCACCAAACCCTCTGCTTCTGTGCAGTCACCTGCCTTTAAATCTGCCAGGTGAGCACTGCCATGCTGAAAGGAAAGCACAGGTTTTATTTTCCCTTCCAAGGCTTCTTGTTAAAGCAGTGCAAGTCCACAGAGGGCTCCAGCATAACAGAGGCATAAAAATGCCAATAAATGCACAGAGGTCGAAATATCCCTGGAGTGCTCATGCAGGCTCTCATGCCCCTGCTTAGCAAACTGGACTAGGGAGCTGCTTCCCCAGCAAGTAGA